ACTACGCACACATTACACACACCACCACAAAACCACACACACCACAACACACACACACACGCACACACACCACAACACCACAACACGCACACACCACACACACACACAACACAACGCAACCACGCACGCACACACACACACACACACACACACACACACACACACACACACACACACACACACCACACACACACACACACACACACAACACACACACACACATCTAATATATAATATAGTATAATATAATATAATTATATAATAATAATATATACATAATATGTAAATTATATATATATATATATTATATATATATTAATATATTATACTGATACTATATGTGTGCGTTTTATATATAAACACCCCACCCACACACACACACCACACACACACACACACACACACACACACACACACCACCACACATACACTTAACACCACACACACACACACACACACCACACACACATCACCACCACACACACACCACACACAGTATAATATAATATATATTATATATATATATACTATATATACTACTCTTAATATATATAAAATATATTATATATATAACTATATTCAATACATACTATATTATATATATATTTACATGTGCTGTGTGCTTATATAAATATATAGTAACTATATATATAATACTAATTACTATATAATATATACTATATATGACACACCCCACCACCACCAACCACCCAACACCCAGCGATTCCACCACACAAACCCTCAGCAAAAGCGACCAGCCAAACCCACACCGACAACCACAACAGAAAACACCACCAACACCACACCCAAAAACGTTACCAACCCACCCACCCCGCCGACTCCAACACAACAAAGCGCACCCAACCACCAGCCCCACAAACCGCCACACACGAACTCCAACCAAAACCAACACCCCCACAACAAACAAACCACCAAGCCAAACGAACCCCCCCCCACGACAACACAACCAAACCAACACACCCCACAGACCCACAGACGAACAACCCACCCAACGACAAAACCACCCAAACGACGAGAAAAACAAGCCCACAAAGCCAAACCAACCATCAACCCCAAAACAGCCACAACCAAATCCAAAACAACCACCAACCAACCAAACCCCACCCACAAACCAGCAGTAAATCCCAACACCTACACGCAGCAGGGACTACCTCCACCACAAAACATATACCCGCCTACACTAAACAACACTCTACACACCACCCTACCTAACACCCGACCCAACCTAAACTCACAAACACCCAACACAGATCTAATACCAAAAACTCAAATCACGCCCACAAACCCCTATACTCATTAAGGTACTAGCGAGCTATACACCCGTAATCACCTCCCCATAACATATATTAATAACACACACACACACACACCACACACCACACACAAAAAAACAAACCTAAAAACAACTATCCGCATAATACACAATAAGACTATCAAGATCAACCATAAATCAATATACCAATAAATCACCTCACCTCATAAACATAATATAAACATAAACAACTACAACTCACAAAAACATAGTATAACAACATATTATTCCCACCTGCACTAAATATAAAATACCTACAAATATGTCAAACTAAACCTCGAAAATCATGTGTGACAAGCCAATTATTTATGTATTATGTATGATATCGTATGGTGTGTGTGTGTGTGTGTGATAGTGTAGTGTCTGTGTGTGTGTGTCCTGATCATCCTTGTGTGTGTGTAGTGTGTGTGTGTGATGTGTGTTACATAAATTACCCCATGTGTTTGTGTGTGTGTGTGTGTGTATGTGGTATGTTGTGTGACCTGTGTGTGGTTTTTTTTATGCTTTCTTTCTCATGACCGCCGACCTATGTACTCCTGTTTTCACCCATTATAGCCTAACCGTCATTGCTCAAAACATCCGTCAGAAATAAAGAGAAGTGCCACGGAATGAACCCAATCTCACTATTTGCCGCATAAGTCTAATACCTAAATCCTTTTAAATCGACAAACGGAGTGGTGTTATCCCAGAGACAGCACCAGAGTAATTAGACTTAATGCTACGCAATTTTGTAAGGAATACCCCTCCACTCTTAATTTCCTATGTTTACACAACACGAAGTTGAACCCTGACGCTACCAACACGGATAATTCAAAATAAGTTATCCCAACTGATTCACTACCTCTCTCCCTACTCGCTATTCACGGCTATTAAGAGCGGCATACAACCCAACACGCAAACAAACCACCCCAACAAATACTCGCCCAACGAATACAGGCTAAACACCATTCCATAATATATCCATCCCCTCCACCAAACCAACAAAACCCCACCCTAAATACGTTACCTAAATATCCAAAGCGATTAAACAGAATACATATATTGAAATATTGAATCAGTTGTGAGATCAATAATAGCAAAAGCTTATATTAATCATTATGATTTGTTTCCTACTGCATAAACTAATCTCTGCAATCCTCCTCGCTATATACCCATGACTGCAAATAAGATAAAACAATCGAGCAATAAGTCCAAATCCTCGACTACAAAGATAGACAACACGATACATTCGATAACACAAAGTTTATAGCGATTAGATACATATTGATATTGATATTGTGAGATCAATAATACAAAGTTATATTAATATTATGATTTGTTCTACTGCATAAACTAATCTTTGCAATGCTCTCCGTTATAATGATGATAAATGTTAGTGCTAATCCTGCTAATAAAAAATGTATTGGTAAAAAGTTAAATGATAATACTGATAATGATGATGAAAAAGGCAACAATTGTAACCATACTAAATCATCAAAAACAATAAGACGAATCAAAATGAATAGAAGGCGGTGAAAGGGAAGTGGTGAAGCGTCGAATACGAAGATTGAAAATAAGATTTGTAACTATGTATCATATACAGCACACTCACGCGTTATTACATCTCTCCTCTCTCTCTCTATTATATTTATATATATATATACTATATATATATATATATATATATATATTATATATATATATATATATATATATAATATATAAAGTTATAATATATAATAATATATATATAATATATATAGTATATGGCACACACACACACATGTTTCCACAAAACCACACCACGCTCAACACACACAGCTCTACACACATACAGCACACACTCACTCACACACTACTTACACACACACAATACCAAACATATTACATATATAGTAGTATATATTAATATATATAGTATAATAATATATTATAATAATATATATAATATATAGTATATATATGTGCGTCAGTATGTAGTGATATGTATGTATTCATTATGATTGATATAGTAATAATTTGTGTGTGTGTGTATATACATACATATAAGGTATACAGCACACATATGTGGTATATATATATTCATGTGGTATATCTGTATATATATATATATATTATGATATATATATATATATTATTATATCGCATACACATATACATACATATCAATATATATATATATATATATATATATAATAAATATATATTATATATATGTATATATTATATATATATTATAATTTGGGGGGGCTGTATAACAATACACGATAAATATGCACATCCAATTGCAAACACATACACACACAGCACGTATAACTCACTAACACACAACACACAACCACACAACACACACACACACACACAAACACACACCATACCTGCACACACCCCAACCACCACACCACACCACACACACCACAACACGAAACACAATATATATACATATATATAATATATAATATTATATATATATATAGTACATATGTAATATATATACTATGTATATATACTATGTAGTATCATGTACTATTATATATATCATGTATAATAATATTATTATATATTATATTATATAGTATATATCTATTATATATGTATATGTTATGTATATGTTAGTGTATGTATATAATATAACATATATATATATATAGTTATTATATGTTAATATTATATATATGTATAGTATATTTATATGTGTGTGTGTGTGTGTGTGTGTGTGTGTATATATATATATACTTATTCATACTATATATATATTATATATATATATATATATACTATACTTAATGTATTATCGTTATGATATATAATATACTATTATATATTTATAGTTATATATATATTATATACATATTATATACTATATATACTATAATAATACGATACATATGTATACATTTATATTATATATATATATTATATCTATATTATATATATATATATATATAGGTATATATAATATTATAATATATATATAATTATATATCTATTATAGTAATTATGTATATGTATATGTTATCTGTAGTAGTATGTATATCTATATATATAATAATGAAATAGTTAGTTAATTAGTATATATAGTATATAATATGATACTGTGTGTGTGTGTAGTGTGTGCGTGTGTGTGTGTGAGTGTGTGAGTAGTGTGTGTTGTGTGTGTTATATATATATATATATTGTTATAATATACATATATTATATATATATATATATATACTACATATACTTATATATATATATATATATAAATACTATATATATTTACTATTATAGTATTATATATATTGTAGTTACATGTAAAAGAAAAATATATATATATATTATATATTTATATATATATATATATATATATAGTGATATAAATGTTAATAGTAAGTAGTATGCTTATTATATATATATATATATTATATATAATTATAATATATAATATATTTATATATTTTATGCAGTGTATTTTGATCTGTATGTATATTAAAGAACCGAAATTCGTTATCTTTTTTTATATTATACTAACATGTGTTGCTTTCACTTAAATCTATATTCATTTATTACATATGCGATTAACTTAATTTAATCTAACATTTCGAATATGTGACTGAAAAGTAAATTACTAGAAGTCAGGGACAGATATTTTAATCATATAAAAAGCATGTATCAAATAAAATTTGTAGGAATGGCAGCAGCTTTC